TCTCTCCTGGAAAAGTTATCCCCTGAGGCCCTTATATATGTGATCATGGAAGGTGGTGAGCCGTCATTCTTCACCCGGTTTTTCACTTCTTGGGATTCCTCAAAATCAGCTGTAAGCACCTATCAACTTCAATCGATTTCCCCAAATAAGAACTGAAGGAATCCCTGAAAAAGGGTTAACAACTCTCTTTTTGTTTACAGATGCATGGAAACTCGTTCCAAAGAAAACTCAAAATTGTCAAAAATGGTGGAACTCCAGTTGCAGATGTAAAGACTCTTCTTGCTTTTCCTTTTGATTAATGATTCTTCTGTGTGTGCTTTTCTAAAGCTTGTTTGTTCATTCTTCTCTTTTGTTGTGCATTTGTTCATTAGAAACCGAAACGAAGGACTCCAGCTTCATATGGTGGCCGTGCCAGCGTTCCTGACAAGTCACAGCAGCGGTCAAGAAGTATGTCGTTTAGTCCAGACAGGGTTCGTGTGAGGGGCAGATCTCCAGCGTTCAATGCACTCGCAGCAACATTTGAGAACCAAAATGCAAGAAATCTCTCAACTCCTCCCCCAGTAGTTAGGAAACTCTACCCGAGATCTGTTACTCCTGACTCCTCAAAGTTTTCTCCCGCTCCCAAGTCTTCAGCCATTGCTTCTCGTAGCGCCCTTTTTGAAAAGACACCTCCCCAAGAACCTTCAATCCCAAAACCACTCAAAGGTATTCTTTACAAACATTTTTGCTGAATGAATGATCAGAAAGTGTGAATATCTGTCATCTTTGTTTAGGGATTCGCATTTCTGCAGTATGGTCATTTCTCTGCAAGTTTCAGTATCTTTTTGCATCTTGTTTAGAGAGTCAGTTCTCTTAATTTACTTCTGAGTATTGAGCTTTCTTATTTCAATTGGACATGAAGCGAGCCCGAAGACACCTGAGTCTCCAGCGCCAGAATCCAACTCAAAAGAACAGGAAGAGAAAAAGGTAAATGACAAGGAGGAGGAGAAATCAATGAGCAGCAGGATAGAATCTCTGACGATTCAAGAAGATGCTAAAGAAGGAGTCGAAGACGAGGAAGATTTACCATCTCACCCTTACGAACGTCTCAAGACAACTTCCACTGATCCTGTCTCAGACATTGATGTAACAAGGAGAGAGGTAAGTTCAAGTCAACAACAAGTTTCATATGTAAGTGAGATTGTGCAGTGAAAGAAGATCCTTACAGTTTATCTTGGTCTGTAATATAGGCTTACCTTTCATCAGAGGAGTTCAAGGAGAAATTCGGTATGACAAAAGAAGCTTTCTACAAGCTGCCTAAATGGAAACAGAACAAATTCAAAATGGCTGTTCAGCTTTTCTGAGAAACAATCCTTCTTCGTCTCAGTCAACAGCTTTCATAAAATCCGGTAACAAACACAGTCGCAACCCCGAACAGTGACATACGTCCTTTCTTTCGACAGAGAATATATGGTGAGATTTTCTTTTGGTTTCAGCTATATGGAGAAGATCCAAGGGACAGTGTCAGTGCATTTTAAGCTGCTTCTGCTCCCCATGAGAAGCTTAATACATCTGTCATGGCTTGTTTAAAACAAACAACCCAAAGCAGTTTTCTTTTCCTCTAATTTTATTTCTTCTTCTTCTCCTTCAGATCTTTCTGATTTGTTTTCATGATCTGTTTGCTTTGGTTCTCCCTACTTCAATCTCCATTTTTCTTAGTTTGCTGGCTAAAGTTAGATTTTGTTCTTTTTTCTTCATATTTTGGGATTGTTTCTTCTTCAGGTCACAGGTTTTGACCTTGAGTCTTTGATTTATTTATTCTTGGGGTTATTTTGCTATCAAATTGAGGAAATTTGGTTTCAAAAGCAATATTTTATTTAGTGAGATTTCATAAAAACAAATTAGACTCTGTAATTTTGTTTTGCAGAAGTTGAGCATTGAGTGTTTTTTTGTTTAATTTATTTTGGTGTACAGCAAAGTGTACAAACTAAAACTGTGCTTTTAAGCTTCAGATTATTATATTTTACAACATTTTCTCTCAATTATAGAAAATACCATTTGTTGTCCAAAACAGGAATGAAACCAGTTACAACTTTATAAGCATGTTTTGCACTTTAAATAAATCTTGTTTTTCGATAATTCATCAATATTATTTTCTTTGAAATGATGATTTATCCAACTGTAATAATAATTCGGATTGTTAATACTGTTAATTCTTGAAAGATATCTAAAACTTTACGTAATTTATATCAAAGTAAAGCTCATGTGTTACTAACACTAGGAAAGTTAAGAGGACTAATAAAAGACTGATGAGTGATGAGATAACGAAAAAAATCCATTAAATAAGATGTATGATTATGGATGATCATCACACACACGTAAAAGAAAAATGCTAAATGTGTTTTGTTTTTTGGTTGTTGTCTTGTTTATATACATTGGTCAATGCATGAAAGGAGAGTACAGTAGAAGATGCTGAAAACGGTGTCGTTATCTTCAATAATGGTTAGATGCCATGTGCATGAATATTTGAGGCGCCATCAAGACTTTATATATATGACTCTTATATTGATTTTGAGTATTAATTAGTTTTTATAACTTTGATCAAATAATTTAGATGCCAACTAGCGATTGACCTAATTTTTTTAACAGACATAGTTTTGATGGTTTCTATATATAGACTGCAGAGTTTGAATTCTTTAACTCTTTGGGTCAATGGACGTAACATTTGCAATTTAACCTTCTTTTTATCTTTTTTAAGATGACTCTGACGACGAGAGTTATCACATATTGCCACATCTGTGTGGTTGGACTTGGACGACGTCTTAACGAACACTGATGATTTTAGGCTTTTTAGCTTGTCGTTCTCTACAACGACAATTATGTATACTATACGAAACTCTTTCGTTTAGACTTAATTGGATCATCAAGACAAAAACTAATCATCTAGCTCAATTAATTATTCAACCCAAGCACGAACATGACTAGTCATTGATGTAAGCTCTCTTAACAAACTCTGTTTTCCTACATTTTCTAATTTTAATATATCTAATGTGGAAACAAAATATTTCATAATATGGTGGAACCACCATTTAAATGGGATGTGTAAAATTGATACAATCGTTTATTTTCATATGAAAATATCGTGTCAAAAACAAATAAATATTCTCTACAATTATCATCTTTTGTTCATACAAAATTATGGGTAGTTTTGAATTGTTTTATATGTTATTTAACTTATTTTACAGTTATCTTCACCTAAAAATAAAACTTATTTTATACAGTTATAATCAAATCTTCAATCTTGCATGAAAAGCTGCTTACTGAAATAATTTGCAGTTGGCGTTACAGTGACATGCGTTATCGTTTTTTCCAGTTTAGCTTTTTCTATCATATTTGAAGATCAGTGGCCGAACCAAAATATAAATTATCATTAAAAAACAGTAAAAAATAATACATTATCGACTCAATTATTGACAGCGTAAAGGAACATGTTCGTGACCGCGACGCCCAATTTATTAATTAGTATAATCTTCTTACAGTTTGTTTTATTGTGGATCACTTTGGTTTTGTTTCATAGAAAACTGTCCTTTGATTCGACAATTAAAAAATAATATGTCCTTAACGACAACTAAAACTATTTTAATACCATTATATTGAGATATACGTATGAAAATTTGGCACTGTTTCACATTACTTAATTGTTTTCTCTCCCAAATTTGATCTTTGGTGTATTCTTCATCAGATTTATAGCTTAATTAGTAGTGTATAATGATAAATTTTTACTGGCTTAATGGCTTTGACGACATATGTCAATTATGATTTTGTTCTAAATTTTGAAAATACTACGTGAATATGGAAGCAACATCACATCTTGGTTTCATGCATATAAAGTATAAACCTTCTCCTTTAATCTGGAAACCAATGTCATTCAAAATGTAAAAACGTCATTATTTATGATATTATGAACTGATTAACAGTTTAAACAAGATTTTGACACTCAAAGTTAAATCTTAGTTGACATTATTAGTTCTTTAGTTAAGACTAAACAGTTCCTTATAAAATATGTAACTTAACAAAATATTCAATAGCCTCTTGTTTATAACGAAGGTGTTAACTGGACGGACTACGTACCACTGGATTGATTTTTTAAAAATTTTAAGTCTTATCCTATAGTATTTTCCATTATTTTACAAATGCATGTACTTAAAAAAAAAAGAGTAACTAGTTAATTACGAATTGTCAACATCCGATCACATTCCACGTTGTAAAGTTAAGTTTTAAGGTAGATACAAGTAAAAAAAAAAAAGATGTGTTCTTCTTCTTGTCACCTCTCGATCTTGTTTAAGTAGTTGTGTTTTTTTTGTTTTCTTGGTTAATATTGTTTAAGTAGTTGTTGAGAAGAGGTAATTAACTAGTAGCATGCCTTTGAGTTGTCAAAGATAAGCATACATGTATACAGTTATTTCTTTTTAAAAGGTAAGCATACATATGAGAATTAAGTATCCACATACACACATTTTTCTTATAAATGCAACTAATTTGTCGTTTGGTTTTTATCTTTATGCATGTTTTTTTCTCCAATTAAAAGCCAGATTAATTGTAATATTCGCAGCCTTGATAGGCTTCTGCAGTGAACAACTTTCTACACCTAGAAGAAAACAATCACTGTCTCGACCAATATAGACCAGATCACAATTACATTACAGCTAATCTCTGGATTTACTTGATAATGAACACAATTCTAGAAAAATATTAAACTTGAAGCCTCACCTTGGCCTCCTCTCAAATTGTCAATATCTAGATGGAGTGTTACATCCACATTCCTAACAGTTTCTACTCCTTATTTTAATATAAGGATTTATTTAATTAATATATATCATTCAAACAGAACAGATCATCATTTAGAATAATCATCGATTAATTTTTATATATATTTAAATAACCCAAATTGTACAATTCATTTCAATCTTAACTTGCCTTTCTATCTACTATAAAAAGAGACTCTCTAACAACTCTGAAGATTAAAACATTTTCATTGGATATTATTAGCCATGGGGAAGAATAATGCTCAAACCATCTTCTCCATCTTTGCTCTTCTTCTTCTCCTTTCTTCATGTGTCTCTGCTCAGCTCCGGACAGGTTTCTACCAGAGGTCATGTCCCAACGTCGAAAACATCGTCCGTAACGCCGTCCGTCAGAAATTCCAGCAGACTTTCGTCACCGCCCCGGCCACTCTCCGCCTCTTCTTCCACGATTGCTTCGTTCGCGTACGTTACAATATTTCTATATATCTATATTCATATATAATATAGGAACCTTTATATATTTCAAAACCTCTAGATTAGTTAGAGTTTATATTATCTTTACGTACGTTCTTATTTTGATATGGATTATTTCAGGGATGTGACGCGTCGATAATGATAGCATCACCGTCGGAGAGAGACCATCCAGATGACATGTCATTGGCCGGAGACGGGTTCGACACGGTGATTAAGGCGAAGCAAGCCGTTGAAAGAGATCCTAACTGCCGCAACAAAGTCTCATGTGCTGACATTTTGGCTCTCGCCACTCGTGAAGTCGTGGTTTTGGTAATTTATTTACCTTTCTTTAAATTATTACATAACTTAGTATATATATATTCCTTTCCTTTTCCCCCTTTATTACATATAACGTCCTAGGTATTGAAAAACCGGTTTTGTTATTTGTGTGAAAAGGCTAATCATATTATTAAAATATACAAAGGAAGCATGGTTCGATCAGACTTCGAGTTAACAAAATAAAGTAATGTTAATTTGTCAGTTTTGACACCTTTTATTGGCGGCTTGTGATTATTTTTTATACAAGTACAAGTGATCACAGATCACATATAGATATAGTCCGAATTAAAACGTATTATTGAACATTGATATTTAGACTATAATAATATAACTAAAAATTGCAGACCGGAGGACCGAGCTACCCGGTGGAGCTAGGGAGGAGAGACGGCAGATTATCATCACAAGCCAGCGTACAAAACCAATTGCCTCAGCCCGGTTTTAACCTAAACCAGCTCAATTCCATGTTCAGCCGTCACGGTCTTTCACAAACTGACATGATCGCCCTCTCAGGTACCTAACCGAACTAAACCGATATATTTTCGTACTTCTAATTAATCTTATGTTATGATATACACACACAGTAGCTAGTATTTATGTTATTGGTGTATTTGTTCAGGAGCGCATACGATAGGATTCGCACATTGTGGGAAATTCTCAAAGAGAATATACAATTTTAGCCCTAGAACACGTATAGACCCAAGTATTAACAGTCGATACGCACTTCAACTACGACAGATGTGCCCGATCCGGGTCGACCCGAGAATCGCTATCAACATGGATCCCGTGAGCCCACGTACATTCGACAACGCCTACTTCAAGAATCTACAACAAGGGATGGGTTTGTTTACGTCAGACCAAGTCTTGTTCACGGACCAACGTTCTAGGTCTACGGTTAATACGTTTGCCAACAGTGAAGGAGCTTTTAGACAAGCTTTTATCTCGGCTATCACCAAACTTGGTCGGGTTGGTGTTCTCACTGGTAATGCTGGTGAGATTCGAAGAGATTGTTCACGTGTCAATTAGTCTCCTTTTTTTTTTTCTTTTATTCCTTGAGAGGATTTGTTTTTTATTCTGTTAAATAAAAAGTTAATTTTCTTGTTGTTAAAAATAAGGAGTATAAAAGTGTTCCATTGGGAAACTTGAATTAATAAGATGGATATGTTTCAATTTTTTTTGGTTCTTTTTTGACATCATATATTATGGTCTCTCCTTAAACAAAAAAAAATCGTTTTATTTCAGACTTCCAACACTTGTACAAATTGCCAAGTTATTCCTGATACACTAATCACAAATTTCTCACCACTAAAATATTCCTCTTTAATTTTTTTTTTTTTTTCACATAAATTGTTTAATGCATAATGACTTTTGTATGTTGCATTGTCATCTTCGGTTACAGTACTGGACTTGTTGATTTGTTGCGTTTGGTAATGAAGAGGGCTATTATCTTGGCCCAATGAAAAAGTAGTAATTATGTTATGGCTTGCTTCTTCTGTTCTTTCATTACTACGGCCTTGTGTTTTCAAAGTCGAACCGATTTGGCTAGTCTGACTGACTTGGACCTTGGTCAGTCATTTGTATTCAGTTAAGTTCTATAAGTTCAGGCTAAAATATGATTCGAATCAAAAATCTTAACTTCTCGTTTGATTAAAATGTTAGATACTTGGTAATTTTTTTCAAATGATGTGCTATTTCACTGTTTGATATAGAGTCATTTATCACAAGGATGAAGTAGGGAACTAATGACCATGAAGGCATGAACATTTTGTCAAGCCTACTTGGCTACTTGCATGTGGACGGTGGACCAATGGACCGACCTAACAAAAGAGAAAATAAATTTTTTTTGCATTAACGCATAGAACCCAAAATCCCAAATTTGTTTTTTTTTCTCGTACACTTTTGAGTTCCTTTTTTGGCAAAACAATAAAATATTATGTTCCTTTACTATATGTTAAAATTAAAAAGAGTGATTTGAAAACCAAAATAGAAAAATGAAAAAAAAAATTGAAAACACAAAAGATGTGAAGGAGAATGAGACTCGTAGTTGCCATTTCTACCAATTACATAAGGAAATCATTACTGCGTTTTCCCTGTCATCTTCTTCAATTTGTTTATTACATTATTATACGTACTGCAAACATACATAGTTTAATAATTTATATAACGATTCCTGCCAAATAGTTTCGACATTACTTTCATATTTTAAAATATTTCGAAACATAATGTCAAATGCTCTATGTGTTTTGTTTTAGTTACGTATATATGTAAACGGTATGTTTTTTTGTTAATAAAGCCAGAAAAGATAAAACTCAAAGACCTAGCCGTTAGAAATTATAGTCTCTATCGAAGAAACAAATAATACAGATGGTCGAGCAACTAATATTACATGGTCAAATTTGAAATAGACTACTTGCAAAGTTGCATTGTGGAACCATTAGCCGATAGAGGTACAAAATGGTTAGTTGACAAATGATATGTGGCTTGATATTTTATATGTTTGTTTCTTTGTCTTGAAAAGAGAATGGTGACTTTGTCTTCTTTTAGTAGTATAGTTTTTTTTCTTTTTCTTTTATCATCTCTTATTATAATCACTGTAAGAATCGTTGACAAAAGATTAGATACAAAAGACTATGTATAATTTATATATCACTGATCAAAATTAGCAGGAAGTCACTAGTTTACTTTTGTTCTGATTATACAAATAATATTTAAGCAACCATTTATATGTTTAGCATACAATGATACAACATAAACCTCGAGTAGATTTTCAACATTATAGTCGAGGAGGATTTTGTTGTAGGAGTTAAGAGGAAAGCTTTAAAGTGAAAGTTGCACGTGGGGACAAATTGTGAAAATAAATGGCTCCAAAATAAGAATAGGAACAAAAGACACTCGAATTCAAACCCACATGAGATGTGTCCCTCCCCAAAGTCCCCAAATCCCCAAGTCCAAGCCATATCTTTTTCCTTTCCTCCTCTATCTGGGTCCGCTTTCTTATTTATTATTATTATTGCGTTACATGCCACACATTTTTATTCAGTTTCAATAAATAAATAAAAAAACTGAAGAGGAAACAAAATTGAAGAACAGCACAAACATGCCATCTACGATATTCGATAGATAGATATCTCCACTGACTTTGTACAACTTTTTTTCTGACAGCATTGTACGATTTCTTCTTTTTTATTTGTGTGGTTCATACAGACAAAATAGTTCTCTATTTTTTTGTATTATTGGCATTCAATATTGGTTGTATTATTCATTGTTTCTTGTATGTTTTTTTTTTTTTACATAAAAGATACTATTGAATACTTACGTATCTGTTTTTACCTAGCTAGCTTGATTGTGTGATTGTGGCAAGAGTTACATTTATTTCAGTCATTTTTTCAACGTGGATTGTTAAAATAGTCAAAAACGTATTAAGCAAAATTCCAAACAAAGTTGTATGATTACATGCATTATTGTTCAATAGGTGTTGCAGCATCTCTCGGTAAGTTGTTATGCACATCTATTAGTTTTGCATCTTGTTTTCTTTCTCTGCCTCTTAGATTTTGACATCACTATGTATAGTCCCAATCTTACTCTGCTTATATCTATATGTGTTTGAGTGAAAATATTTACTGCATCTAGAGATGGTTAGCAGTAACACATGTTTTCCACGTTGAATACGAAAGATTATGGAATTGCATTGAAGTATAAGAGAACACATCACATTGTTACAAAATATAAAGAAATAATTTACGAGAGAGAAGCAATTTCGTTGCTGCATTAATTGATAATCTACTAACCCTTGACTTTTTTTTGGGGTGTGTGGTAGGATGAAGAACACAACAAAACTAAGAATACACCATTTAGTTTCTTTGCTGTTAGCGTCCAAAGCTAGTAACGTGTATAATGCATGTATTAAGCACTATAGATTAGGAGACAACTTGTTAAGTCTCAACCGCCCATGTTTAGTAGTTATAGATCTTTTTTGGACATTTAAAAATACCAAAATAATAATTCGGAATATACTTTAAGAAAAAAAAAAAAAAAGAGCGCAGACTTTCATATCATATCATAAGTTACCTTTTGTGTCAACATATATAAACTGTATTTATTTTTGTTTTTTTTTTTTGGTAAACCTTATAAACTATATTTATTAATATATAAATGATGATTAGAATCTAAAATATCACTAGACCAAAACATCCTCGACAAATCAAAGGCTATGTATAACCAAATTAATGACAACACGTGTATAATATCTTAATTTATATATATATATATATATGTATGATATTTGGGTCTACGTCGTATTAATTTGGAAAGTAAAATTCGAATTTGGAAACGTTTTGAAGTATTACAGAAAAACTACCACTATTGTCTATTGTTGACCACAATTATATTGGAAAGTTACCATTTGTATCCAAAGATAGCAAAAGTAGTGGATAGTGAAACCAAATTCATCACATGGAGCTTTTAAGAAAATGTTCAAATGGTATATACGAGGGAGATCTATATCATGGTAGCATTGGTAGAAATGACATAGATTCATCAAATTAATTAGGAGAATGATCCAAGGACACATACACATGCATGTATAAATTGTATATATAGACAAAGAGTGGTGTGAGGGAAGAGAGGGAGAGGGAGAGAGGTTATAAGGGGGGGGAGGAGAGGAACATGTGAAGGCATTAAGAGAAGGTGGGGTTTTGTATTGATGTCTTGTTCTTGGAATGGAGCCACATGGTAAGAGGGTCTCTCAAAGCACCTCTTTAGGGGTAGTTGTGATGCAGCCAAATTAGAGCTCTTGCATGTGACTCCATGTGTTTTTTCTTCCCTCACCCATTATTATCTTCCCCATTTCTTTCCTCCTTTTTTCTCCCTCTCTATAATCTATATATATACATAAATAACACTCTCTTTTTTATAGTTAGCTTCCTGTTAGTTTATCAAATGGTATATATATTAATTATACAAAAACATGAATATTGGTTGATGATATCTTATATTTTTTATTCAAAAAATAAATCAGAAAAGACTATTACCACTATCAAATCATATTGTGTCTTCTACTTAACAGAAAATTTTCTCCCAAACATATTACCTCATTTATGTCTACAAAGAAAATAAACTTCAAAATAAGTTTCTAGCTACAACAATATTACTTTTATACATCATCAGCCTTTGATACATATATATACGAACAAACAAAGGACCCACTCTTCTCTTTCTCTATCTCGCTCACATTCAAAGTTTGCTATATATGCAAGTTTCTCCCTTGTAGACTTTCCTTTGCAGCAAAAATAATTTCTCTTATGGAGAGGCAAATCATAAACAAGAAAAAGCGAGTATTTTCTCTTGAACCAAACAAGGACCCTAGTGCAGTTTTCACGAGAAAGTACACAAACCACTTGGTTCCTGCACTCAAGAAGCTCAACATGAACAAGAGCTCTTCCAAACAAACCGTGAAGCATGAAGTAGACATGGCTTTGGCTTTGTCTGCTCAAGAATTTGCATGGAGCCGTTTCTTGCTAGAGAAGCTATCATCCTCGACGAATCCAACCAACACTACTAGTAGTTCTTCTTCCAATCGAGTTCGGATTCTAGAAAGATCCGATAAAGAAAGCGGAGACGAAGAAGGAGAGATAGAAGAGAAACTGAGGGAGTTACAGAAGCTTTTGCCAGGTGGAGAAGAGATGAATGTAGAAGAAATGTTGAGTGAGATTGGTACTTACATTAAATGTCTTGAGTTGCAGACGATTGCTCTCAAGTCCATTGTTCAAGACACTACTTGACTCTTAGTTTTCAGTGTGTAACCTATAGTTTGTTTTCATGTTTTGTCCTTAAAACTAAATTAAAATCGTCTCTGTGTGTGTTTTTCTATCGTTCTTCTTCAAGAACAAGAGGATGTATCATAGTGGTTTTCTTTTTCTAGTTTTCTTAATCAATCATGGTTATGGAAACACCTATATATAATACCACACAGGACCAGGTTAATACATCTTATTAAAATCCATCTAAAATCTGATTAAACGTTATATTGTTGCTTATAATGCCAAATCAAATCCTTGTCTTTTTTTTTTCCTCATTTTATTGTCAATAATGCTGCTGCAAATCTCCAAAATCTTTAATGTTGTAATCATTTAAGCTGACAAAATTTGTGTGTATCCCCGCATTGTTTTTTCTCCTTGAGTCAAAACATATGAATTTTCAACCTAAGATATATATATAAAAAACATGTAAATTTACAAATTTCCAGTTAATTGTAATAACCAGATATATCTAGAAAAGTAGGAAAGTCAGATGACATAGTGTAACTATGCGAGTCATATAGCATTGATTTGAAGTCATCATCCATATCTTTGCACGTGTCTCGCAGTCACTCGCACTCATCCAAATCTCTATTTCTCTCTTACGATTCTGGCCGTACTGTTGCTACACACAACTTGTCCCATGTCATGTTTTTTTTTTTTAAATGGGATTTTCAAAGGACAGTGTAGTTTAATTGATTTTGGATCATTTCTACTTCTTTTCATCAAAATAACTTTCCAATTAAATTTGCAAATCGTTTGTTGTAGGTAGTTTATAAAGTCCAAATATTAATTTCTGGCACTTACAAAAGTAATTAAGCCGATATATAAAACATTGGATTGAGTTAAAAAGAAGAAGATTAAGATTACATAGGCCCATGGAATAAGAGCAAAGAAGAGAGTGTTTACATATGCCAAGTGCCAAACACAAAGGCATGCCTTGTTACTTTAAAAGAGCAAATTTTGCAAAAGTACAGATTTGAGAATCATGTGGAGAAGAAACAAGAACACCTAACAATGAGATTTGGGAAGAGTTATGGCAATAAACAAAGATCTCTCCCTATGTAAATAATAATCATAAGAGGAGGTGAAGAAGAAAAAAAAAAAGAAGAAGAAGACAAAACAGGGAGAAGAAGATCAATCATAAGTTTGGTTTATTTGTGCGACTACACAGTGTAGTGACTTGGAGTTTCAATGTCCAAACCCTTTAGCTTCACTACTGATTCCACATGTCCCTTGAGTGTGTGCAGCTCCCTAAGCCTGTTTAACATATAAACCATCCAATTAGTGTTTAATTCCAACAAAATCATATACTTAGATCAAAAGAATCGGGTGTGATTAGCTTTATTACCTAGCGATCTCAGCTCTTCTCTTGGCCTGCTCTGCGATCTCAGACAATTCTCTGTAACTTCCTTTCTCAGGGAAGATGTTAACAGCTTCTTTTGGCTGCAAACCGTGAAGTGTCCTTTGAGCAAGTGCCCATTGAGCCTCTCTCTCTTCTTTTCCGTAATCTTTCTTCATTGTGAAAGCCGTCTTGTTCTCAAACAAGTTGAGCCACGCCTTTCCGCTCAGGATGTATCGGATGGCAAACTTGAAAACGTCCAATGGGAAGTAAGTGACAATACTGTATAGCCAGATCACACCAGCCCATCCCCATCCAATACCCCTAATCTTTGCAAATTCCCAGTTGGCATAAACCGCAATCAAAGTCGCAATCTGCATTTGGAAAAACAAATGTATTTAACGTTTTGGGAACCTTTTTAATCCAATAAGAAATCCCTTGAAAAAGTGATTAATGATGATCTTACCAGTTGTGCAATGAGGAAAGCAATCATGAGTAATGCCCCAGGACGTTCAACAAATGACCAGCTCCTTGATCTCGTGACGAAGATCAGAGCTTGACTAATGATACTAACTTGTAGGTAGACAGCACCCATTAGCTCGTGGTTATTATCCCTAATAGACCTCACACCGAATGTATCCTGTAAAATTCAAAGAGAAATTTTACTTCACAGTGCTGAACAATAACCAAGAGGAAATATAATCACCAATACCTAAAAAATACTAAGGAAAGATAATTAATTTGGTATGTACCGAGAAAAAGTCAGTCTTGTGTGCAGCCCAGAAGAAAATAACAGTCATGATGGCCTGGTATCCTCCTAGAACGACTCCAGTAGCAAAAATTTCTCTAAGTTTCCAGCTATCAGGAGTGGGAGATGGCTTAACTCTGTCCTTTGAGATGGTCATGATGGTACCTATAAGATTAAGATAGAAACACATGATACCGTAAGATAAGTAAACTGCTACAAAAAAAAGTTATGAATTTGCGGTTTGTACAAAAAGACAGTGATTGCACAACGCTCACCATCATTAAGAATGGCAATGATCAGAACCATGAAGGCTGAGAAGTCAAATTCCCATATCAAAGCAATAAGCATGAATCCAAACTGCAGAAAGTCAACCAAAAATATGATCAGCAAAATATTAATTTTAAGACAAAACCGACAAATGACAAGAACTCTAAAAGAAGTTATTTGCGTACCACAATACGGATTGTGATTGAAACTGCATAAATCTGTAATAAGAGAGGAAAAAATAAGAACAGAGTCATTAGTTTTAATTCTCAGCAAGCAGATGGTTGAATTAAATTTAAGAAAGAAAAATAAGAGAAGACGCACAGTATAGTTCTTCATTCTCTGGAAGATAGCCCTGCTGGTGAGAACAGCGCTGATAATAACACTGAGTCCAGGCTCAGTGAGAACAATATCTGAAGCACCCCGAGCAGCATCTGTAGCATCCGCCACAGCAATACCAATATCAGCTTTCTTAAGAGCTGGGGCATCATTGACACCATCACCAGTCATTCCAACGATGTGCTTCCTCTCCTGCAACTTTTTCACAATTTCGTATTTGTGCTCTGCAATAATAAAGAAAGAGGCTTAGATATAACATAACCACCATTCCGATGAACATATAGTGAGGTTCAAAATACAAAACAGTAAAGAAGCAGATTATAACCTGGGAAGACTCCGGCAAATCCGTCAGCCTTCTCGATCAACTCCTCAACAGGAATGGATGCAAGATTGGCATCCTTGTGTGTACCAAGAAGAGCCGAAGATGGATACATGTTTGTTCCCATTCCAAGTCTGCGACCAGTTTCCTTACCAATAGCAAGTTGGTCACCTGGCCACATACGTCGTCCAAGAGAATGTTAGGGGAAAATGGTAAAGGTGTCTAGTTAGCATAACATGGTCAATGGGTGAGAAAATTTACCAGTGATCATCTTGACGTTAACACCAAGATTCAAAGCTCTTCGAATGGTTTCAGCACTGTCATGTCTAGGGGGATCAAAAAGTGGCAACAAGCCAACAAATTCCCATGGTGCACCTGGGCTTTCCTTTGTTTTCTCCGGCACCACCTAAAAAGAGAAATAAGAACAAAGACAATTGAACATTTGTTTCCACGCAGAAAAGACAAACAGAAGAAGCTTGAAAATATGAGTATCAATGTCAAGAAATTACCTGGCGAGCAACAGCCAACGACCTAAGACCACGCTCGGCATACTTGTCAATAATGGAGAGCACCTTCTTGCTAAGGTCATTGCTGGCTTTGGCGAGTTCAAGGATCTGTTTGGGAGATCAAATTAGTATAAAGAGGAAGGATTAAAACAAAAGACACTTGTTGGTAGGGTTGAAGATCCATTACCTGCTCAGGAGCACCTTTACTGACTCTGTGCCAGTTACCACTGCCGTCAATGTAAGTCAAAGCAGTTCTCTTATCCACAGGGTTAAATGGAAGGAAGTGAACCTCCCTGATTCCAGCTCGAGCCTGCAAAAATCGCAATCAAACATAAGAACTTGATTCTTGGACGCTGAGTAAAACTACAAATGTAATTCAAACCGGAAAGGGTTATACCTCCTTTGGATCAGCAAGCATCCCAACCATGGCTGCATCAATGGCATCCTGGTTCTCAACCCTGGAAGCCATAGCTGCAAACAATAGGACTTGGTCTTTCTCCACACCCTTGCAGAAAACCTCAACCAAATTTTTGTCCACACTCAGTTTATTGAGAGTTAGTGTCCCGGTTTTGTCACTGCACAGGACATCCATTCCTGCCATCTCTTCAATGGCAGTCATACGCTTGGTGATGGCACCTTGCTGGGACAACCTGTGAGACCCAATAGCCATAGTCACGGACAAGACCGTGGGCATAGCAATGGGGATACCACCGATCAAGAGGACCAAAAGGTTATCAATTCCATCTCTGTACTTTCGGCGTTGAATTGGGTACATGACGATGATCTCAATCACCATACCAATAGCAATGGAACAGATACAGAAGTTTCCAATGGCTGTAAGAACCTTCTGGAAATGTCCAACTTGGTTTGTGCTGTCCACAAGATGAGCAGCTTTACCAAAGAAGGTGTGAACCCCTGTGGCAATAACAACAGCCTCGATTTCTCCTTGTTTGCAGGTTGAACCAGAGAAAACTTCTTGACCCGGGTGCTTGGTAACAGGAAGGGACTCTCCAGTTAGAGCAGATTGGTCAACCTTTAAAGGATCACCTTCAAGTAGACGGGCATCAGCAGGGATAATATCTCCCAGTTTGATGCTAACAATATCTCCTGGGACAAGAATAGCAGCTTCTTGTTCACTCCATTTTCCATCCCTAAGAACCTGAAACAGAGATACATCACATAAAGAATCAAAACATTAGCTCTCGAGAATTTCAAAAGTTCTGTACAGCAACTTTTTAGCATTCTTTTATCATATTTACCTTGGTTTTAGGAGCAAGACCAGCCATAAGCGCAGCAGCAGCGTTACCAGCATTGTTTTCTTCAATAAAACTGATGGTAGAGTTGATAACCAACAGACAGATAATACCGACAAAATCCTGCCAATCCGGAGGCCTACCATCACCGTTGGCCAAAGCAATAGCCATGATTGCAGCCATTTCCATAACCCATGAAAGGGGATTCCACATAAACCCCAAAAACTTCAGAATTTTGCTTTCCTGCAATTTTCATTGTACAAATCACCAGACATTCAGTAACACACAAAAAGAAGACCAGATATGTTGTTCTA